ACAAGGCAATAGGCGAATAAGGGATACAGGGGTCCCGCTTCTTCCAGACACACCAAAAATAGATGCTAAGACTGACATCAGTATAAAATGGTTCTGTTTACTGAAGGTATTTCAAACATATAACAACACAAACCCACACACAATTATACAGCATCTAGGAAATATAGATAGAAGGGAATAGCACATTCGCATTAGCAGGGTGTTCCGTTGATGGGCAATACTTTACCTGTCCGCAGTCAGAAGGAGCACACCTCAGAAAAAGGAGGGGGACTATGGGAGCTTGAGGGGGTGGGCTAGGCTTAGCAGTGGAGCCTGGGGAGGACAGGGACCTCAGTATGTGAGACAGGATGCTGGACAAAATGGACCACTGGTCCAATCCAGCAGGGCTCTTCTTATGTTCTTATGTGGGGTATAAGGCCATAGAGTCCACCCTCCAAAGCAGCCATTTTTCTCCAGGGGAACTGATCTCTGTAGTATGGAGATAAGCTGTAATTCCAGGGGATCCCCAGGTCCTACCTGGAGGCTGGCGACTCTATCTCCACTGCAGCCATAACAAAAGAAAAAACTAAAAGATAACATGTGAAAACTAAAATGTATCTCTCCCCCCCCAAGACCAAACCCCATATCAGTTAACAAAAAAAACAACAACCCCAAAACTTTTACTAAATCACTTCTGTTATTTGCTTAAATATGCAGTTCAAAACTGAGTGTGTCACATTTTGATCCAAGTGGGGTAGCCATGTTGGTCTGAAGCAGCAGAACAAAGTTTGAGTCCGGTGGCACCTTTAAGACCAACAAAGTTCTATTCAAGGTATGAGCTTTCGTGTGCAAACACACTTCTTCAGGTACAGTGAAACAGAAGTCACCAACCATTACATATCAGAAGAGGGTGGAGAGGGTGTTGCCAGGAAGAGCCAATTAAAGTCACAATGCATAAGGAACTGAGCGGTGAATATAATTCTTAAGACTGGATGAAGATGATTGGTAAGACCTGTGACTAGCAGCAAATTAGCATACAGCATAATAAAAGAGTTTACAAACAGATGCAAGAACTGAATGACGTTAGCAGGTGTAGTGAGATCAGAAGCAACTTATATTTAATGGTTGGTGATTTCTGTATATCTGAAGAAGCACATGAAAACTTATATCCAAAATAAAACTTTGTTGGTCTTAAAGGTGCCACTGGACTCACATTTTGATGTGTTAATGATGTGCATAAAATAAAGTTATAAAATTTATCAAATACTCCTAAGAGTAACAAATGTCTAAATCTGAGGCCCTCTTTGAGCTTCAGGCCCAGAATAAATGGCCTTTCGCAAGAACATAAGAAAAGCCATGTTGGATCAGGCCAGTGGCCCATCCAGTCCAGCATTCTGTGTCACAGTGGTCAAAACCCAGGTGCCATCAGGAGGTCCACCAGCGGAGCCAGAACTCCAGAAGCCCTCCCACTGTTGCCCCCCAAGCACCAAGAATACAGAGCATCACTGCCCCAGACAGAGTGTTCCATCTATACCTTAGGGCTAAGAGCCGCTCATGGACCTCTGCTCCTCCCATGACCGTGAGGCAGAGTTCCCTGAGTCTGAGGGTGTATGATTTGTACTGGTCCAAAGCTTATTCCGGGCTGCCGAGTTTAAGTATCATCACAAGTTGGGGCAGGACTCATGAATAAGGAACCGTGGACTGTGAATAAGGAACAGGGAACTAGAAGTCAACTTCGTCCTGGAACACGCTAAGAGCTGGGCTGGCAGGGTCACCAGCTCTGGCTTGGGAAATTCCTGGAGGTTGAAGGGGGAACTTGTCATTGGGCGGGGACCTGAGCAGTTGGAGTCCATAGAGTCCATTTTCTGTAGGAGAACTGGTTTCTGTCGTCTGGAAATCAGTTGTAATTCTGGCAGTTCTCCAGGCTGTGCCTGGAGATTGGCAGCCCTACAGGCTGGCATCAGCATACCCTGCCATGGGGCAGTTGCCAAGGCCCAGGGCTTGTGGTGGGTCCCATTGCTGCCACCACCCATCACCCGCTCGCATCCCCTGCTGCCCCCCAGCTTGCTTGTGAGCTAGGGTTCCCAGCTCCAGGTTGAGAAATACCTGGAGATTATGGGGGGTGGAGCCTGAGGAAGGCAGGGCTTGGAGAGGGGAGGGGCTCCAGCAGGGTATAATGCTATAGAGGCTACCTTCCAAAGTGGCCATTTTCTCCAGGGGAACTGACCTCTGTGACCAGCTGGAGATCAGTTGTATTAGCGGGAATGGATCAATATTGTCTACTCATAGACTCATAGAGTTGGAAGGGACCTCCAGGGTCATCTAGTCCAACCCCCTGCTCAATGCAGGAAATTCACAAATACCTGCACAAATACCTTCACAAATACCTTCACAAATACCCCACATCCCCAGTGACTCCTGCTCCATGCCTGGAAGATGACCAAAAAAAAACCCCTTCCAGGATACCCAGCCAAACTGGCCTGGAGAAAAATTGCTTCCTGACACCCCCAAAGAGGTAGCTGGCATTTCCCTGGGCGTGTAAGAAAGGGGCCACAAGAACTAAGCACTGAGGCAACCCTTTCCTGCCGTCCCTTCTCGTGATCTGCCTCAGTTCACACAATCAGCATTGCTGTCAGATGGCCATCTAGCCTCTGTTTGAAAACCTCAGAAGAATGACTCAGACTCATAGGCGTAATCTTAGTGGGGGCGGTGGGGCGGTGGGGCGTCAGCCTCCCCCGAAATTTTCAGGAAGGTGCTCAGCCTCCCCCGGGAGCCACCCTTGCTCCTAGCAAAGCAATGCCTCTGGCCCAGGCCCAGCCCCAGCCCCCCCCCCCCGAAAATTGGAAACTGGCAGCCGCTCTTCAGGGTCTCAGGCAGAGGTCTTTCACCTCACCTACTAAGTAGGTGTTAAGTGTTGTGAAGTTGCTTCTGATGTACGGGGAAATTTCCATCCACTACCCGGAGGCTGGCAACTCTATTGTGTGCCTCCCACCACCCACCCACAGTGCTGCCAACGGAAGGGCATGCAACCAGTCAAACAGCTGGGAAGCCAGTGGGGGAAGAATGCAGGGGTAGACAGTGGGGTATGTAGGAAGGAAGGGGGTGAGCGTGGGGGGGCGGCAGACAGGGGAAGGTAAGGGGGACCCTGGCGCCTGGAACTGGCCCTGGCTCAGAGGTGCTTGTGACGAACTGACCTCCAAAAGCCGGATGCTTAGTGCACCAAAAGCAGAGAGCTGGGAGATTAGGGGTTAATCTGCTTCCAGCATGCACCCCCCCTTCTCTCTGATTGGTCAGTGCCATCTGAGGAGAGTTTTTAAAAGTCTTGTCAGTCTTGTCAGAGGGAGTCAGTTGTTGTTTGGACTTTGGCTTGGCAGCAATGTTCCCTCTAAGCTGCGGAGTCTTATGAGCAAAAATCCTGCTTTGTGAGCTCCTGGCATTAAAGTTGTGAGTGAGCAATTTGGCTACTGCAGAAATTAGTGTGCTCCGGAGCCCTCCTTCCTGAGCTAAGACAAAAATGCATGAGCCGGAGGCTAAAAAACTGTGAGCTAGCTCACATTAACTCAGCTTAGAGGGAACAGTGCTTGACAGTTGCAAGTCAGGAGGCGTGTGCGTGTCAGTTTGAGGGAAACAGACAAGTTCACTTGTGAAGTGAAGGGACACAGTTCCTTGCCCTTACTGTGTACCAACACATTTGAGGAAAAGTTTAAAAATCAGAACTTAAAGTCTAAGTGTCAGCCCTATCTGAATTCCGTTTATTCACAGTCTCCAGAACTGGGGTTTAGGTTTGACAGAAGAAACTGAACAGGAGGTTGGAAACTGCCAGTCTAGCCAAACAAAAGAGGATTATCGCTCCTAGAAAGAGGAGGATATTTCTTACCCAGTTGTTCAGAGGGTTTAACTCAGAAGGGAACCCCTGGTTTGTGTGAAAAGGGAAATGGTCTCAAGAGTATAAAGGGGAAAGTTATAATCCCATGAGGGAAGTACTGAAATACAGGGAAAAAGTACTAACTTCCAGGAAACTAAGCTAGTTTTATGAAACTTTATTAAGACACATTGTTACGGAAAGAAATCTCCAAGACAAACCAACCTCTCACAGTTTTGAATCTCTAAGAATATAAGTTTCAATTAAACTCTGTTGCCTGTTCAAAATACTCTAATTTGTATAATCAACAGTTACCTCAACTTCTCCTCCCCTGCCCTATTCCTGATTCAGCTGTGCCTGTTCAATCAAATCAACCTTTTCGCTTTAACTTTACTTCGTGTCAAGGGCCATTTCTGAAAGGTTTTATAAAAGGACTCTTAATGAGTTACAATAAATCTCTGGCCTGGGCAAAAGCCAAGTAACTTCTCTATCACAGGGTGGGACACAAGAAAAGTTATACTTCTATCATTCAAACACACTACTAAGAGGATGCTCAGAGGGAGTCAGGAACAGTGTTTTGGTGGGAAAATCTGCCTCACAGAAAAGAACATAAGAACATAAGAGACGCCAATTTTGGATCAGGCCAAAGGCCCATCCAGCCCAACACTCTGTATCACACAGTGGCCAGAAATACCAGGTGCCATCAGGAGGTCCAGCAGTGAGGCCAGGACACTAGAAGCCCTCCCACTGTTGACCCCCTCCCAAGCACTAAGAAGACAGAGCATCACTTGTCTTAGAGCCCCTATCTATACCTTGTGGCTAATAGCCAGTGATGGACCTCTGCTCCATATGCTTATCTAATTCCCTCTCGAAGCTGTCCATGCTTGTAGCCGCCACCACTTCCTGTGGCAGTGATGAAGAAGCAGGGGTCCGTCATAGTGCTGTGCTATTTTTTGCCAGGTTCCCAACTTCACATTAAGCCTTTATTCTGCACGCAGTTTGAATGTAACACCTTCTGCAAAATGATCACACTCCTCCACTTCCTCTCTTTGTGGCTTTCTCACTGTATCCCGTCCACAACATCTCCTCACCCTCCAAGCCCTTATAAGTACTTCTGCTCCAGGCCAGGGCTTGATACTCCCACCACGGAACACCTGTACTTGCTATGTGGCCTTCCACCTTCTGTGCTTGGCTGATACTGGCAAGGGTGTGGGTATTTATCCCCCTTCCTGCCCGCTCCATGCAGCCCCCAGACCAGAACATGGTGAGAGAACCTTTATTCGTTTATTTACTGACTTCCTGCATTTATACCCCACTTTTCTCCCCAGTCGGGACCAAAGGTGGCTTACAGTCTTCTCCCCATCTCCTTTCAGTCCTCACAACAACCCTACAAGGTAGGTTATGGTGAGAAGGAGTGATTAGCCCAAAGTGCCCCAGCAAGCTCACGTGGCAGAGGGGGGATTTTGAGGCTGGGTCTCCCAGATCCTAGTCTAACACTCTCACCATTGTACTATGGTGTCAGAGGTGAGGATCGGGGGTTGCCAAGGAGGCAGGGAAAAGAGCAAGTGTTATGCTACTAAGTTAGCTTGTGGTGTCATTTTTTTTTTCCTGACAGGGCCAGTGGGCTCAGTGGTTAGAGTAGGCTTTGGGAGATCTGGGTTAAAATCCATAAATTTTGGTGGGACCTTGGGATCTGCAGCCTAACCTATCCCAGATGTTGAAAGAACAAGATCATCTTCTCTGAGCATTTTGGAGAAGTGGTGGTAAGTGCGGACCTACAGTGTTTTCAAGGCAAAAGATGAACAGAGGTGGTTTGCCATTGCCTGCCTCTGCATAGCAACCCTGGGCTTTACTGGTAGTTCCTGTATAGGTACTAACCGGGGCCAACCCTACTTAGCTTCCAAGATCTGATGACACTGGGCTAGCTGGGGGCCATCCAGGTCATGGCCTTTGGAAGAAGGTACTTAGAAAAATGGGATGGACGGATGGACGGATGGATGGACAGACAGACAGCTGCCTTACAGATGGAATTTCATCTGGCAAAACTTTCCCCACTGCTGTAGAGCCATAGCAGGGGGAAAAACATTTTCTGTTGAATTGTTGAAGGCACATAATGGAAGATGAAGTGGTTAAAGACTGTATGGTGAAATAGATACAAAATCTAGGTTATAATATTGATCTTACGCAGTGGAGTAAACTATGGAGAGTGAATGTGAAAATAACTAAATCGGTGGCATTTAAAGAGAATCTGTGCAAGATGTTTTACAGATGGTATTTAACACCAGACAGATTAGCTAAAATGTACAGAAATATGTTGAATAATTGCTGGAAGTGTAAAAACATGTGGGTATGTTTTACAATATATGGTGGACATGTGACATAGTGCGTAGGTTTTGGATTATAGTACACACTTTTATTCAGGCAGTTTTACAGATTTCAAGACCTTTTTGACCAGAGTTGTTTTTATTGAATTGTATACCAGAGAATTTTGATAAAAACCAAAAATATTTTATAATTCATGTAGTAACTGCAGCTAAAATTTGATTTGCATACAATTGGAAACTTCCATCAATATCTTCTGAATATGACCTAATAGTGAAGATTATGGAAAGTGCGGAAATGGACAAATTGACTTCAATGTTAAAAGGGCAAATGGAAGAAGATTTTGCTAGACTATGGACTCCATTCTATAACTGGATAAGAGAGAAATATAAAGATATGAACTTCCTAATATGATATCAAGAAGCTTTTATGAACTTTAAAATGATAAGTAGAGGAAAGTTATATGCAGAAGTCTTATTACTTTTATTATTTCCCCTTCCCCATCTTTATGTACTCTAAAAATTAATAAAAATGTATTTTTTTAAAAAAAGAATTGTTGAAGGCACAGGAGCTAGAGAGAAAGGGGGCAATCCTGGAAGGAAGCTGTAGATAAGGGGCTTAGGTCAGAATACAGGTGTATGGGGAATAACCTCCAAAGCAAGTTTAGAAAACTAGTAAAGGGCCAAAAGCTAAAAACATCAATAGGTATGGACAAAAGTACACATGTTTATTTCAAAAACATATAAAAACCTTGAAGGGGCCCAAATAAAGCCTCATAAAATAATCAAAGTGACAAATGCACAAAAGGAACCATATATGACCTGATGAATTTCAGCCCACAAGAGCCTTCTTCAGAGGTCAAATAGTACAGAATACAAGACGCAACAAAGCCCCTATTACGCTTGTAAGGCAGTAAACAATTGATATAGGACCAAAAATGGAATATTCCAATCTGGAACTGAATGACAAAAACATTTGTTTGTGGGGCCACAAATGTATCTGGCCTTGTATAGGAGATAGTAATATTGCCAATAAGTATCTTCCAGTTTCGGTCCTAAGAATACAAGTAAAAATGCCCTATCAGGGCCAATGTAACATCAATATCAATCTCTTCATATGGGGGAATAAGCCAGTTGCATCATGGCTCTTTCATGAGTGCTTTTTGAGGGATTCACCTTCTGCCTTTCCCCCCCCCACAGACCGAAATGACCCAGATGTTCCAGGATTTTATGATACAGTATAACAAGTCCTACAAAAGCCCAGAAGGTAATGGAGCTGTTTCTGTCAGCCGGGTTTGGGAATGGGGAGAAGATGATTGAGGCTGTCTTTGGAGTTGATCTGCAACCCCATCAATTAAACAACTCCAGCTTTGATTTCATAACCTGCTGCTGAATCCATCCAAAGCTTTGCCGTTTCCATGCACCCGTGCTGTGGACCTGAATAGCACAACTGGCACTTTTGTGCTATTTCGTCCAGGCTCTCAGCAGCAGACGCGCAAAGATGGCAAAGATTCGATTGGAGTAATCAGTAGGGTAAGAAACCAGAGCTGGAGCAGATTAATTAACACTAGGGCTGCACATCCATGGCTCCTGCCTTTATTTTTTAAGGCTGTTGATATTCTGCTGTGTTACTGAAAACAGAATGCAAAAGAAAAGCTGCAAGGTGTTTATTTGCTTTGGTTTATTGTTCCATTGCTCTTCATGAAAAGTTTTGATTATATGCAAACTTATTTACAGAAATTGATGGATCAGTTAAAAGCACCGGTTCGTAGCCTTAACACTTCAGGCTACATGAAGCCTGCATTCGGGATGTTTTGATTTCATTCCTTCCTCTCCCAAATTCATTACAGTATCTCTCATTTTATCTACATAACAGCCCTTGCAATGTAGGTCAGGCAGAGAGAGACCAGATTTTTGCAGTAATTTCCTTAGTAAGAGATTTAATCTCTTTACTTCCTTTATAGTGCACTTTTCTTGCTGAGACTCCAGGAGGGTTACAAAACCCTTTTCTAAAAATCCAGTCCAACAGCATAAAATATCTGATAAACAATGCAGTAGGATTAGGGTTGCCAGCCTCCAGGTGGGAACTGGGGATCTCCTGCTTTTACAACTGATCTCCAGCTGACAGAGGTCAGCTCCGCTGGAGAAAAGGGCTGCTTTGGAGGGTGGACTCTATGGCCTTGTACCCTGCTGAGGCCCCTCCCCACACCCTGCTCTCTGCTGGCTCCACCCCCAAAGTCTCCAGGTATTTTCCAACCCAGACCTGGCAACCCTAAGTAGGATCAGGCAGGGGCAGATCTACTATGAAACTAATGAAGCTTAAGCTTCAGGGTCCCTAATCCTGGAGGGACCCTGAAGCAACTTTTTTTTAATGAGTGAATTTTTCAACAAAATTGATGGAGGTTTTTTTTAAGTGTTTGTAATTAAAGTAAGGCTATTTTAGTGACAGAATCATAAACCAATGGGTTGAAGGCCTTAATATTGACCTTAGAATATGCTTTAATACCCATTTCATATGCCTCAAAATGTCCCTGTAACCGGTCAAATTTCAAAATGGTTCTCAGGGGCTTGCAGCACTGTTGCCCTATTGTTGGTGGTTGAGAAGAGGCCCCCCATAACAGTTCAAGCTTCAGGGTCCCAAAAATGTAGGTCAGCCACTGGGATTAGGACTACAGAACTGGAAAATAATGCAAACAAACCTGTCTGGGGGCCCAACTAGGCATGACAGCATCCCTCCCCCCATGGCTGTTTTGGCACTTGGAACTGTTTTGACACTTTTGGACAGGGGTCATTTTGTAGGAAAAAAGGTGAAGGAGCTCATTAGCATAACTTATTTGCATATGCCACACCCCCTGACATCACCGGAAGTGTGTCAGAAGGCAATACCCACTGCTCAGGCTCCACTGGACTGTTTTGGATTGCTAGCTATGGGGGGGCTCTGCAACTTACCTGGCTGCTTCTTGCTCCTCATGGTCCAGTGCTGCTGGGAGCAGGGGGCTGGGCTTGTTGCACGTGCCCGCCCCCTGGGCTCTTTACTGCCGGAGCTCCGCTCCTCTGGCGTCCTGCAGGAAATGACCCCTGCTTTTGGAACAAGAGTTCCTCAGCCCACAATGCTGCAGGCCCAATCAAGATCAGGCCCTCACTGTAGTGGTTAAATTCACATTGAAATGGTGGCGGCGTTCCAGTGGCAGACACAAGGATGACATCACATCTATCTTGACCCTGAGGCATGACATACCATATTGCAGAAAGCGGGTTACACAGGTAGAAGACAGTGCAGTGAACATGCAGTAGACATAGCAATTGACTACAATCCCATTCCTTTATAAAAAGCGTCCTCTTGAGATGTTATATTACAGTACAGTTCTAATCCCCCTTTTTGTCTGACAGATTTGCTGTATCTTTAGAAGTGACTCTGGAGGCAGAAGTTAGGCAGAGTTTCCCCAGCTGTGTGTACTTTGGGAGGAAACTCTATCTATTTAATTTGAGCCCATAGGAGACTGGTTTGGAGTCCCATAGCAAGCACTGCACTCCATTTTCTGCTAAATCCAGCAGTTTATACTTGCTTGTCTTCAGGGCTTTTTAAAATTTATTTATTTTGAAAAAGAGGTGCCGGAACTCTCAAGAGGGAAATGAAGTTTTCAATCTGTACACTGTTATTCCCATTTCACAGCAGAACTGAGGACAGAGTGGGTTTTGGCTAAGATTATCTAGTGAGATTTAAGACTGAACTATAATCCGAACTCAAGTCTTCTCAGTATCCTGGCTTCCCTCCCTGGGTCAAGGTGGGATAGGAACTCCAGAACCTGTTCACCATGCCTTAAAACTCATGTAGCCCAATCTGTTGCATAAGTGAAGTGTAGTGGACAGAGTACTGATCTAGGGTTGCCGGCTTGATCTTCCCAGGAGTACAAATGATCTCCAGACGACAGAGATCAGTTCACCTGGAGAAAATGGCCACTTTGGAAGGTGGACTCTAACACCCCATTGAAGTCCCTCCCTTCCTCAAAACCCACCCTCCTCAGGCTCCACCCCCAAAATCTTCAGATATTTCCCAACCTAGAGCTGGCAACCCTATCTCTGACTAAGGGGCAGTCTAAATCAATGGAAATCTGACTCAAGATCAGAGGTCATTTCGGGGGAATCGCGGGGGATCGCAGTTCCCCCGGGTGAGGTACGGGGGGCGGGGCACATAACGAAGCCCTGCCCCCTGCTTCCGGCCGCCCCGCTTCCGGCCCTCATTCAGCCAGGAGGAGGCAGGAGAAGAGGGAGGGTAAGTTGCTTCCTCCCTGCCTCTCCCCACCCCTGCCTGCCTGGGGCCAGGGAGGGCCTTCGCGGGGCTTCCTTGCACTCCCGCCGGCCTTGCAGGTCCACCGCCGGGCCCCTCATGGGGCTCGGCAGTGGAGCTGCAAGGCCGGCAGCGGCGGCCAGGACTGTTGGGGGCTGAGTGTGTGGCCTTATGACACACTTCTGGTGATGTCAGGGGGTGTGGCATATGCTAATGAGTTATGCTAATGAGTTCCCCTAGCTCTTTTTCTACGAAACGGCCCCTGCTCAAGATTCATTATGAAAGAAAGCTTGTTCATGTTGGGGAAGGAAATTCAGTTTACGAGACCATCTGCCTTTCTTGCCTCAGAGATGCATCATCGTTTTAAGGTCTTCGAGCAGAATCTCAAAGCGAGCCGTGAATTGCAGGCCTCGGAGTTGGGCACAGCACAGTATGGGGTTACCCAGTTCAGCGACCTGACAGGTAAGGTGTGCATCTGTGTGAGTCCCAGAGTTTACCTTACCCAGAGGCAAGAGGGGATTGGATATTGTTACCCCAACTTCCCATTTTTGGTGTTGAGACTCCTTGACCTAAGGTGAGGTACACACATACTGAATCAGACCATTGGCCCATATTGACCCTGTGTCAGCAGGCTGCCATTGTGTTCTGTATTCCCTGCCTGTATGTACAGACCCTTCCTCCCCCCCCCTCTGTTCCTGGCCTGTGTTTTACTCTGCTGTAACGCTTACACCAAGCAGCTGGAGGACGTGAAGTGGGAGGTGAGCTTGATTGCTAGCTTGTTGCTTTTTGAGCCTGGGAACTGCATCAATGTTATGTCTGAAGATGGTAGTGTTCCCAGGGATTACCCGCGCAATCGTTTCCTTGTACCCGCCAGCGGGAAAGTGACCCATTGGTTCTGTACCTGGTTTGAATCCCTTTATTACGTTTACCCGAGCTGTTTGTAACCATTCCTAACAAAGACCTTGTTTGAGTATCTTTCCAAAGCTTTGAAATAAATTTTGCTTTCTTGAAACGTGGATTTATTCTCGATGCTTGGGGATCCAACACCCTGGAAGGTCGGATCAGAACCAATGGGTGGAAATTAAATCAGAAGAGTTTTCAGCTAAACATTAGGAAGAACTTCCTGACAGAGTGGTTCCTCAATTGAACAGGCTTCCTCGGGAAATCATTATATTGTCCGGAATTTGCTGACTCCTCCATCTTGAAGCTTGTATTGTTCCCCTTTCGTAAACTATTAGTTTATTATTTTATTTTAAATTTTATTGTGTTTAATAACCAAATACATCCATACCCGTAACCAAATACATGACTAACGCAAAAAAAAAAAAAATTAACTGTCATTTTAAAGCATAGAAACAGGTATTGATCCCGCCGCCGCACGTCTATTTTGATGCGGCTCAGAAAAGCCGTGCTTTGGCCGTGCCTTTTCCCCTTGTGTGACCAGGGCCTCAGAAGAGGGACTGCACTTGTATCAGCGGTATTATCTTTGATTTCCTTGCCCTTTGATAGCCCGAGGATAGGCAATAGTTCAATCAGTAAAACTTGCTGTATCACCAGGCTTGGGGAAAAGTAAACCTGTTGAATTTCTGCCTGTCACACAGGAAAGTCATGAGTGCCCTATCAGATTCCATCTCCGACTTCTTATCTCCCAAAGCGGAGTTTCTGTAACCTCTGTCAATAGGGTTTTTCAGTGCTGACATGATTCTACCCAAAGCTTAAGCTGAACCTATTTTTCTATGGCTGTAGGTATAGCTTCCTTGGTCTATTATACATTATATATTTATTTATTTAATGCATTAAGCAGGGATCCCCAACCTTTTTCTGCTGGTGGGCACCTTTTGGCATTCTGACATCACAGAATGGCTGCTGCAGGAGACAGAACCAACCACACGAGAGGTAGAGCCAACCACAAAATGGCTGCCACAACAGGTGGAGCCACCCACAAAATGTGAGGGAGTGAAGTCATGCATAACTCTAACAGCATATTCAACATCTCAGGCAAAATCTCTGCTGAACAGGAGGATGCCTTTTTAAATGAACACATTGCTTAAATATATTTTCTTGCATACACAAAGCTTACCTTCTGTCATGCAGTGAAGATCCTTGTGCTGTAGTGGAAGATGCTGCCAAGACAGTGTTTATTTTTGAATCTGCACAGCCAGTCATGTCTCCACAGGCCAATCAGAGGCCCTGTTGGTCAAAAGCCCCAACTGGCCTCACCCACTTTCTATGTCAGCAGGTAGCATCTTGGGCACCATGTTGGGGACCTCTTCCCCCAACTTTAGCCAAAAGTTCACAGTGTGACTTACAAAAATTTAAAAAAATAGACAATAAAATCCACAATCAGCAGCACAAAATCAATAAAACTTCAGGGACCTCAAGACTACCTCCAGGTGGAGCTTTCATGTAAGACAGCCTCAGAAGTTCAGAACCTGTCTTTATCATGTATTTTTGTAAAGAAATTGAGCCAAGCAACTGGACAGGGTTGAGGGTGGTCCGGGGCCTAGACCCAGAAAATGTGTTTGCTTTCTGTGCCCAAATGTAAGACACATGAAGTTATACAATAACAGACGGGAGTGCCTGAGCACGCACAGAGCACCTCTTCCTCATACTAGAACAACTATCACCAGCTCCCTCCAGACAACAATGCAAATGTCTCTTTATTCTCCTTCATCCAGAAAGTGAGTTTAAGACGATGTTTGGAATCCCTCAGCCCATAGAACCCCCCATAGTGAATCGGCTGGCAAAGTCCCCAAAGGCACAAAACCCACCGTCCTCCTGTGACTGGAGAAAATTTGGAGCCATCACAGAAGTGAAGAAACAGGTAAGGGGATGTAAAAGGACTATGAGATGGGAAACTGAATCTCTGGAGGAGTCACAAGCAAAGGGGCAGGTTCCCCGTGCAGTGAGGAACAGAGAGGAGGGGGTCACCAAATGACTCTTAGGGACACCATTAAGGTTAGTACATCCCTAAACCCTCCATTTGTTCTACGCAGCAATGGCTCTTTGGGTGCCAATGAACACAGTGGCAACAGAGCTTCCAACCGGTAGAGATCCTTGCATATTTCCTGTAGGGTTGCCCTCTCCGGCTTGGGCAATTCTTAGAGATTTGGGGGTGAAGGCTGGGGAGGGAGGAGTTTGGGGAGGAGAGGGAGCTCAGTTGGGAGGCGATACCATAGAGTTTGCCCTCCAAAGCTGTCATTTTCTCCTGGGGAACTAGGATTACTAGTTCCAGTTGCCCTAATACCTGCGCAAGGTCCCGCAGGGCCCGGATCTCCTCCAGGAGCTCATTCCACCAGGTAGGAAGCCGCCACTGAAAAGGCCCTGGCCGCAGCAAGTTTGGTATCTTTGGGGCCTGTGGTTACCAGGAGATGTTGAGACCCCGACCGTAGTGCCCTTGGGGAAACATATGGGGAAAGGCAGTCCCTCAGTCCCTGCCCATATAGAGCTTTTAAGGTAAGAACCAGCACTTTGAAGCAAACCCGGTACGCTATTGGCAGCCAGTGCAGCACTTTCAGCACAGGCCTGATATGGTCCCGCCTAGAGAGACCCATCAACAGCCTGGCCGCAGCATTCTACACCAGCTGCAGCTTCCGGATTTGTGACAAAGGCAGCCCCATGTAGAGAGCGTTACAATAGTCTAGCCTCGAGGTGACCTGGAGGTGAGCCGTAATTCCAGGAGATCTCCAGGCCCCACATGGAGGTTGGCAAACCAATGTGTCCCTCATCTCCCTGTTCTCCTTTCTTTGAGCACTGAGAAGTTCAAAGGCAGCCCTTGCAGGTGTCCATTGGGAGGAGCTTCGGGAGATTTCGAGCTTTGTAGGGTGAGAAGAAAAAGGAGGGAATTGAAGCGGCTGCAGAAATCTCAAGATGAATCGGAGGAGGCCCCAGAATGCAATAAGCTGAGGTTCTCCCAAACCTCTCTTTCCTGCATTGCTCATAGCAAACTCATAACTCAACCAAAACCAAGGAGGGAATTCCCCCCCCAAAAAAAATCCCACTTGAATGTGTATCCAATAGTGAGCAATTGACGGTAGGAGGAGGATCACACAGGATCACAGAAAAACACACACATTTGCCCGTTTCCGTCAGCAAAATCAAACTGGCAGAAGCCGCAGATCTCCAGGTTTGCATGCTGTCCTTCTGGCTGGGAGGGTGACTGCAGGAATCAGTTGTGGTGGGCCCTCTGCTTATTAGATAAGGTTGCCAACCTCCAGGTGGGGCCTGAAGATCTCTCATTATTACAATTGATCTCCAGATGACAGAGAGTGCTCCCCTGGAGAAAATGGCTGCGTTGGAGGGTGGGCTGTATGGTGTGATACCTTGCTGAGGTATCCCCCCTCCCCTCCCCAAACCCCACCCTCCCTAGGCTCCACCCCCAAAATATCCAGGAATTTCCCAGTCCAGAGCTGGCAACCCTATTATTAGAGGAGGCAGTTTTTCTCTGATATTTGGGGCTGGGCAAAAGTTGCCACCTTTACATACTGGCCTTCTCCCGGCGGAACAGGAAAGTTGCAAACTGGCCCATGTAAAATCCAAAGCAACAAGCCAAACCTTTTTATTAGAAGCAACCAAAATGACACAAAATATTCTCCTCCAGTCGAACGCATAGTAATGAGTAAGATGAAGCTGTTCTTGTGATTTTATTGTCATGGTAGGAAAAGCTTCCCCTGTTGAATCTTCTGTGCATCCAGGAGCAGGGCTAGTGTAAACAATGAAATGATTCAGGCGGGGCTGCCAATTCCAGGTTGGGAAATTCCTGGAGAATTGGGGGTGGCGTCTGGGGAAGGCAGGGCTTGGGGAGGGACCTCAGCAAGGGTGGGATTCCACAGAGCCCACCCTCCAAAGATGCTATTTTCTCCAGGGGGACATCTCTGTCACCTGGAGATCAGTCATAATTCCGAGATGTCTCCAGGCCCCTCCTGGAGGCTGGCAACCCAAAATTCAGAGCTTATTTTTGCTGTCGGCCAGGGAGCGCCCGTGTGACCTGCTACTATACTTTTACCTGCAGTATAGCTCGATCGTTCTGTGAATGTTCTCATTGGCCCTCTCTGCACTGGCAGCTTGCTCCGGAGAATCCAAGGAGTCAGGCCTTAAGGGTTGACTTTGCAGTCGCACGCATTCCCTCTGCACTGGTCTTTTCCCCTTCAGTTTATTTGTGTAGTCTGTATGCATTCTGCATCTACAAGCAAAACTTGCATTTTTTTTTAGCTAACTGGCTGCCAACTCCTCCCTCTGTGATTCTGCAAAAAAAAGGGAAGGGAGGGGGAGATCCAGACCCACACATGCAAGACTGACACATTTGGGAACAGGGAACCCCCTAGTCCTTTATATTTACTGATTCCTTCTTATGCTCTCTCTGGTTTTTTTTAAGGTTGCCTGAACTGGAAGACACATCCTCTTTTGTGTTTAGAGAAGGAGGGAAAGAAAACAGAACAGGGAGGGAGTGTCAACCTAAAGAGAGAGAGGCGGAAATGGGGGAGGGCAGTGGGCAGCACTTAAATACCTGCAGAAACAATTCTACTTTAGAAGGATTAGTGATTTGAAAGTGGATGAGAACAAAGAATCGCAGCAAAAGGAGTTTTGGTAGCTGCGGGGCAACAGTGTGCTGGAAGCGGTCTGAATGCAGATTCCTGTCAAACAATACAGGAAGATGAGAAAGCTCTGACCCAAAGTAGAAGTGAAAATGGGAGGGAATGCAGAATGGAAGAATAGGATGCACTCAGAGACGGAGGCAAAATACAGGTGCACAGGGGTCTTGTTGTAGAAAAAGAGCTGCCGGAGCTCATTAGCATAACTCATTAGCATAACTTATTTGCATATGCCACGCCCCCTGACATCACCGGAAGTGACAGAAGGCCACACCCCCTGACATCACCGGAAGTGTGTCAGAAGGCCCGGCTACTTACCCTCCTGCTTCATCCTCATTCCCAAACGGAATGAGGATCGAAGCAGAGGGCGGGGTAAAGAAGGGGGCGGGGCTTCACCACGTGACCGCCCCGCCCCCTAGAGGTTCTCTTCCGGAGCTCCGTACCTGAGAGCTCCCCCCCGACTAGAGTCCTGCAGGTGCAGAAAGGGCCAAAGTCGTCTTCGTTTTCTTCCCCTTCCAGGGTTCGTGCAGATCATGCTGGGCTTTTGCTGCTGCATCCAACATTGAGGCCTTGTGGAACATCCACCGACATTCACCGCGAAATGTCTCCGTACAGGGTACATTGGAACATGAGCAAGGGGAGACGTGGGTGGGTGGCCCAAGAGATCTCTACTTTCTAACACCAGGACTCCACCGTTCCAGCATACGAAATAAAGATAAGAATAAGTTATTAATAATGTTCAAAATGCCTTTCCCTTACAAAGGATCATGTCTGCAAAGCTACAAGTAAGGGGAGAACAGTTTTTTAAGGCGGACTCTGAACCTTCATCAATAACTCTGATTTTTGAAATTGCCCTCTGGTCTTGTGCATTATTTGTAAGGCTGCAAGATGTACTAAAGACAAACTGAGTTAAGAGAAGAGAGGCAACCAATTCCTGGAAGTGGGGATGTGAGGGAAAGGGTTTTCAGGGCATACGATCTATTTCTGCAAGTGTCATTTCCTTCTAAAGATGAACCAACTTCCAACTAGGGTTGCCAGCTCAGGGTTGGGAAATACCTGGAGATTTTGGGGGCGGAGCTTAAGGGGGCAGGGTTTCGGGAGGGGAGGGACTTCAATGGGGCATAATGAGAGAGAGTCCACCTTCCAAAGCGACCATTTTCTCCAAGTGAACTGATCTCTGTCACCTGGAGATCAATTGTAATAGCGGGAGATCTCCAGCTACCACCTGGGGGCTGGCATCCCTACATACAGAGATTCACATGAAGCCTTTTTCCTGCCAAGAGTGGGATTCACTTTTTGGTCTCTTCTACCGTTACAGAGCTGGTGGACTGCACCAGTCACGGCTGCAGTGGAGGCTATGTATGGGATGCCTTCCTGACTGTCATCAATCGCAGTACGTACTGAGGACCCTTCCCCACTTTTCTTTTAACTGGGCTGATAGCCTGCTGCAATCCAGAACTGTGTTCTGATAACACAGAAAAAGTACAGAGGAGGGCAACCAAGATGATTAAGGGGGCTGGAGTACCTTCCCAATGAGGAAAGGCTGGAGAGGCTGGGACTTTTCAGTTTAGAAGAAGAGACTACTGAGTAGTACTGTATGGCTGCAAGAGTTGGACCGTAAGGAAGGCCGAGCGCCGAAGAATAGATTCTTTTGAACTATGGTGCTGGAGAAGACTCCCTTGGACTGCAAGGAGATCAAATCAGTCAATCCTAAAAGAAATCAACCCTGACTGTTCCCTGGAAGGCCAGATAATGAAACTGAAGCTCCAATACTTTGGCCACCCAATGAGAAGGGAGAACTCCCTGGAGAAGACCCTCATGCTGGGGGACGGCAAAGGATGAGATGGTTTTTAGACAGTGTTATCGGGGCAACGAACACAGGAATAGACAGCTTTAAAAGGGGATTAGATAGATTCAGAGGTCATTTCGTAGAAAAAGAGGAGCAGGAGCTCATTAGCACAACTCATTAGCACACGTTATTTGCATATACCACACCCCCTGACATCACCAGAAGTATGTCAGAAGGCAACAAAGAAAGAAGGAAGGTAGGGAAGGTAGGGAGAGAGAGAGATGGGAAGGAAGGAAAGAAGGAAGGAACGAAGGAAGGAGAAAGAAAGCAAATAGAGAGGAGTGGAAGGGAGAGAGGAAGGGAGGGGAGAGCTGTAAATTCTCAGATTTAAATCCCCCCCCCCCAGTCTCTCCGCAAAAGCGGAGTGGCTTAGGGGGGAAGGAGGGCATGTCTGCCCGGCTTCCCTGCGCGATCTTCTCCAAGTGCCCCACGGCGAGAAGATCGCGCAGGGAAGCCAGGCATTTAAACCCCCCCCAAGTCTCTCCGCAAAAGCGGAGCGGCTCGGGGGGGCATGTCTCCCCCCCTCCCGCCC